CAGCTTTGCCGTTGACTTGGACTCTTATTACCGCTCATAACAACTGACAATGTTTCAGTCATTTCTGGCATTCAACATCTTCTACTGGGGTTTCTTGGGAACCCCTGTGGGTCACATCCAATTCAAAAGTGGCCTGTTCAGCAGTTATGTGCAGATTTGATTCGATCAAAACCCTCTGTTAATCTTTGTCAATCTCCGATACCCGACCACCACATTGTTCTTCTGCGAAGCTTCCCCCGTCATGAGAAAGACATCTCAAGTCACGACTGCACAGCGTATTTGTCGTGGATTCCGCCCAAATGCTCAGCTGATATTGCTACTTGCCTCTACCCTTCTTCAGCCAAATTTGAGGAAAAACAAGAAATCGTGCAAAATAACCTGATGAGTGTGTTGTATTCAAAACTTCAAAAAAAAGGGAAAAGTGTTCCAATGAAAAGAAATCAGAACATTTAGATTGAGCGAAAAATGCCTTCAGAAGAATACATAAGATTTAGCAGTTCCATAAAGTAAAGAAAAAGCATTGGAAGTAAAGCATTCAAAAATGCGCCACAAAAAACAGTGCAGACTTTCCGAACAACTCAATACTTTCCTGAGCTCAAGGAGAATATGTCCGCCTAGAAAATCAAAAGCAGGCTCTAAAGTATCGAATATTTCATCCTACATCTGTTCGAGATTTTGAAGAGTACATCAAGAGTCATGGCGCGACATTTAAGCTCAGTGATCTACTTGATTTCTCTACTTTTCAAGATGTAGTCATTCTTAGTTCTGTCTCGCCGATTTACTTAGCACCTGAGAACTACCGTCCCTTTCCAAACGATCACATCCTTGAATTGCAATATGTGACCCATTTTTCAAACTAAGAGGACTCAGCGGATTGTCACAGCTACGCCGATAGCATGAACTGCTCAATATCTGCTATCAAGTTATCAAGTCCGGCAAACAGGGTTGTCACTACTATCAGCCCAGTACATGGACGTCCATGTCCTGCTGGAAACGACTAATCTCCTACAAGGTACCGCAGAATGACGTCTCAGCAGTCTTTGCCCAAACCGTTAATAACCTCAATGAAGGTATCTCGACTTTTCGAACACGACATAAGCTAATTCATCCTGACATTACACTTACCCAAGTTCCGCCTCAAACATCTTAGGTTAGACTCTCACAGAGAACAACTCCCAACGTCATGTGTGCGCCTGAGCCAATCCGCATTGTAATTATTCTTGCCATACGATGTCATCCGCTCAAGGTATTTTACAGAGGGAAACATCAAAAGATCAACGGAAGGTCGTTTCTAATCTTTGCCATTACCTTATCAATGAAAGGATGGTAATTATTGACATGATGCCGCCAATCGGTGAAAGGCATGTCACGAAATCACCTTTGGAGACAGAAAAGTGAGGTAATGGATTGGTACAGGCTACTCTGAGACGACATGACGCTTCAGGGGCAGTGGCGTCTTATCGACGGTGTGATAAAACGCCGAAATCCACTTCCGGTTCGCCGTTGCGCCTCTGTAGCAGACGTGGAAGGGAATGCAGTAGCAACGTGCTGGATACGATACGGTTATCGTTATGGTTCGCGTCAGGCCCTTCAAAGGAAGCGATCATGGATTCCACGCTGGATTTGCTACCCTCGCATTATCAAACCGATAAGGTCTGAGATAGATTATGTTCGGACGAGCGTTACCCCCTAGAAGATACGATATCATAAGATAAGGAGATGCGGCTGCTAAGAATAAAGTACACTCTAGAATGAAAATCGGACAATCACGATAACGGTATCATATCTAGCACGCACCCATTGCAGCCCTTTCCACATCGTTAGGCCCGCGTTCATAGTTCGCGACTCGGGAGATTAGGATAGTAGGCGACAGGATATTAGGATAGTAGTAGAGTAGGAGATTGCGCTGACAAGATTGGATACGTATCGATTGAAATCGCTGGAGAGTAGTAGATTGGGCGACTTCAAGCGAATAGATCAATACATATCTAATCTTGTCAGCGCACTATCCTAATCTACTACTATCCTAATCTCCTACTCTACTACTATCCTACTATCGTAATATCGCAATCTACTACTCTCCAGCGATTTCAATCGATACGTAATCTTGTCAGCGCAATCTCCTACTCTACTACTATCCTAATCTACTACTATCCTAATCTCGCCGTCATAGCATATGTTTCACTGCGCATATATCCCTAGTCCGGAGTCGCCGTATAATGTACGCGCCTAATAAGTCTTGGTTTTTGCTAACCGGAAGTGGATTTCGGCGCCTTATCACTCCGTTGATAAGGCGCCACTGCCACTGAAACTTCACGTGTTCTAACATTGGGCAGGACCCCTATCCACTCCAGTACACAGCTTTCCTTATCGTCCCTATGAGAATTATCGTGACCACTTCCTTTAAAGTAGGATTCCAAGATAGGTCGGAGATAGAAGAGGGGTAAATACACTAACAAGAAAGATGAAAGGCAGGCGATCCCTAACAAGAAAGGTGCCGGACGATGCGTGTTCAGCAGCGAAGAAGCGAGGAGTATACTCCCAACCGTCCGTTGGACAAAGTCCAACGAGGGGCCCCCTCCCCGCCCGACGGCAATTTTGGAGGAAGAAGTGGGCGGAGTTGGGCTTGTGTCGACTGGTCTCAGAATCAAATACTATAGAATCGCCCCCATGATGGCGATGGCAGGCGAGGGTGGTGGAGGATGGTCGTGAAGGGTTAACCCTGAGGGGGGGTCGTATCGAGGCCCTCTAGAAGGGGGAGGGGGTCGTAAAATTTTCGAAATTGGTCCAACGTGACGGTTGACCCCGCTAGCAGGGCTATAACGGGGTCGCTCGCGTCGTTACACCCACTCCCTCGCCGCCTGACTAGTCTTTTAGTGGCGAGGGTGTTAGCATTGATGAGATCGGCACTGATGAGAGTCGTATCAATGCGAAAACCAGGGCAGAGAACGTGTCCCATTTCTAGGTTGTGAGCCGTTTCTCATAGATTTTTCTTCATCCCTGCACTACTAATCACCTGTAGCTTTATATCTGATGAGCTGCCTTTTCATCGTAGATTTCGGCTTTAACACGTGCAAATGACCTCGAAGAGGAAATTAGCGGAAAGAAAAGGAGCCCCAATTCTCGGTCATGGGCCATTTTTTGGCTTTTCTTAATCACACCGCTGACCACCTCAGCTATGATTGCTAACAAACGGCCATTTCATTGTGAAAAACGTTATGTTCATGGTCGTAAATCTTTTCCGTCTACCGTTCGGTGTGGGCGATTTGTCTACTCCTGCCTCAAAGAGAGGCACGAACTGAGGTTCAGAGTTGTCGAGAAATGCCTCGAAGTTCTCCGTCGCGATTTTTCTTCTGCTGGAGAAGCGCTGCAAGTTGTCCAGGATCCAGTAGTCGGACGGGGCAAGGCTAGACGCGACGGTTGATCATTAGCCACCTCCGATTAACAGCCGCGGAAGGTGAGCCGGGCCACGCTGGGGTTCTTTATCTCCCAGCATCCTGTAGTCTGGAGGAGGGAACTTCAAAGGCACCAGAGCTTTGGCGTCAACTGAAAGACGGGAAGTCAGTATTGCTTCGATCTCCAAGTCGGTACATTCGATATATTCACAAAGAGACCCAGAAAGAGGCGAACTCCGCATGGGATTTGATCCTAGGAGACTTACGAGTGCGACACGGCGCCCCTACTTGCTGTTCTACCGTGACCTCTAAGCAAAGCAATAGTAATCTTTATCGAGCCAATCTTCATACCAGCAGCTTCACCTAAACGTGTTACAACATTTTGCGGGGGTAAATAATATATGGTTATCCCTCCCCTTCAAAAGCCAGAAAGTGTCGGGTGCAGACCATACACCACAAGTGACGACGGCCTCCAGAAAATGCAAATGTTTTTGCCAATGAAATGATTAACCTGTTACAGTTGTATTCTGATCAGTCGACACTAATTACAACAATCATTTACCAAAAATCAGCTATCACTATAAACCACTATTAACCAGATTTAGAAGAGGCGTCTTCATTTGGTGTTTCGTCTGTACCACACTTTTGCTTTTAAGGGGAGTAGCGTGAGAGGCGAAAGCCAGCGTGACAAAGTCGTACGAATCCTGAACATATCGGCTAGACCCTATCCCAACTTTGTCTAGCGTTAAGTGAAATTAGCCCCAAAACTTCTGATCGTGAAGGCATAGCATATAATGAACGACTTTTAATCAAAAGGTCTCTTCAGAAAGGGGGGTGGCATGTGTGGCAGAGCCCACGCCGACCAAAACAGATAACTCAGAAATTCCATTTTCTGCAGGGGAGGAAGTCCCCGGGTGCAAGAACTATTTCGCCTCCTCTTCACACTCACCTCGGGGCTTCTCCCCTGAGGAAAATCGGATTACTTCAGGTGGTATGAAACGTCGCACCTCATGCTCCTTCCCCTTACTCAATGAGGCCCTAAATTATCATAGACAAGACCCAACGTACGCAGGAATCCTGAAATCAACATCATAAGTTCATCCTGCTATTTTGTTGCCATCTCGAAATAGTCATACATACAGCATCGCTCGTCGACGACACCCATGCGCTGGAGAACACACAATAACTGCGTAGTAGCGTGTTGTACGTGAGCAACCATATACACTCTAATCGACGTCATGTGCGGCGAGCGACGCCGGTCGATTGCTGGCTCGAGTTCCTCGTAAACAATTTTGTGCGTAATTCTATCACGTGTCCTTTTTTTTCTGAAATTTGTTTAATTCTGACTTCGATATTCTGTGAAGGTTTTGTCTCTACCCGGACAGTTTTGCTTGCCTTCTCCGTTGCAGTTCAAATTAAGACATGTTATCTCTGGTTATTGATTCAGTGACCGTAATCTCGTACCTTACTCTATTATTGTCCGATGGATTTTAAGGCATTAGACTTACTTCAACATGCTATTGATCTAAAATAGTCATTGCTCTCATTAAACGTTCTCCATAACTTTGAACCTCCTTTTCATTTTGTACAACCTGTTGGTAGGTGATGGTGAAGCGCGGCAATGGTCTCTCTCCACAAAAAGATCTCCGTCGTTCAAGTCGTGAGCGGTCTATGGTTTACCGCAGTTTAGCAGAGAATGATCTCGCTGAACGCCATTTACGTGGCAGTTTTATGAAAAGTATAATTCGAACGGCGACGGCACAATTTCGTATAATGTATGCTTAATTTCATTCTGTCTGCATAATATAAGTCATTCAGACCATGAATTGTCCTTTAGCTATGTTGTAAATTCTTTCATTTGATTTAGAAAAAATATGAACAACTGTGCTCGAAACAACATTTCATTATCTATGTATATTGATTTTTTCATGTACGCAGATTCTGTTGCCTGAGAGGTCATAACTATAGCTATTCGAATCAAACTCGACATCTTTGATTACTTTGACTCTGAAACCCATCTCTAGGTGTCCACTATGGAAACGGATGAGTCAGGATTGGACATAGACTCTAGCCAATCAGCAAACTTATATCAGCTTTGTAATTACTGATTGATTTACCACGAGATATTCTGCCGTCTTATGAAGAAATTAAATAAGCCTATTACTTCAATCTTCGACTTTGTTCGTTCCGCTATTCAAAACTCATATGATGTGAAAAAAAGAAAGAAACAGAAAAATTAAATGATCGCGGACACGTAGTAGCATTAGTAGCCATACGTGAAGTGAATTGGTCAATAGTCAACATTCGGAATTTGGTGCTATCGTTGTTGGATACAGTATTTTACTGGGCAACCACCGATTCTCCTTTTGAATCGCGTTTTCGATGAAGATCGACGAGTTTTAGGCAAGTGTTCTTTGGGATAGAAAAGAAGCGCTGTTGAGATGTCCTAACAAATCCGCTTATATCAATCACGAATATTATTGCCACAAAAATATAGTAATTGAAGATTAATGTCACATAGTGTTGTCCCATTAGCGCTAACATTTCTTGTTGAGCTCAACTCTTCACAGGAGCTCATTCAAGCACAACCTGCTGCTGGCTACACGCGGTCTGGGAGAAGAATCGCAGGAAGCAACCATTACGAAGAGAGCGATTCTTCAGATGAACGCGAATATGAAAAAACGAGGCGAAGAAGGTAGCGTGTCATAAGTTGATCAAAAAGTCCGATTGCTTCAGGAATTTAGAGGCAGTTTCAGGTATGTTAAGGAAGTATACACTGAAGAAAGTGTGCGATCGCCTAGCCCCAAACGTGGATCAGTCAGGAGACGGGATCTGAGGGAAGTTGGAGACCATCATGAGGTAATGTCGCTGAGTTATCTGTATAGAAGAGAACTGATTTCTTCGGATTTAGGAAGAACAAAGTGCGCAAGGAGATCCAGCACAGTACGATATAGAAGCTGCCAACATGTACGATACAATCAAAAGGGAAAGGAAAACTATTAACGTAAGTCGCCCATACCAATATATTCATCAATTCTTATTCAGCTGCTTCTTTTAGTCCGACTTCTCTTCCTAACTCTCCAACCTCCATCAATGGAAATCATTCTAAAGGGGCTTCTGAGTCTGCTCGTAGTCTGCGTCATGCAAATAGAGAACGCATGTCGACAGGTGATGCCGTAAAGGATGAACCCAATGGTGAGGTGGAAGGAAGTCAATCTAGCGAAGAGGTCAGCTTCATTTCCATGTTCATGTTCAGTTCTGCTCACGAAAGTGGGCTATGTTTTCTGCAAAGTATTTGATCAAGAGGCCCGAGAGCAACGAATATTTTAGACCGACGAGGACGATGAGGAAAAGACGCCTGAACCTCGCCAGTATTCGCTAAGAAAATTCCGTCAGCCCGTTGATCGATTCGCGGCTACTGTGACCTTGAAAGAGAAGGAGAGCCATAGGTACTGCTTAGTGATTTAGTTTGGACCCTTTCATAGCTACAATGATCTCTGGATTCCATCTCACATATATTAGGTTCAGAGAAGAGAGAAATGAACGAACTCGTGGTCGATCCACAGATCGAAGGGATCGCAAAGCAAAACGTTCATCGAAACGGTATGTTCCTTTATTCCTCGGGAGTGATTTTTATCGTTCATGTTGCTCCTGTCTGCTTCGTTTTGCTGTCGTTGTGCTCATAAGGGTTTTCTCTTACTACGGAAACTTAGCTATGTTCATCGTAATGTTCCTTTGTACAAAAAACTTGGCTTTTTGAAGGCGCCGGCGCGACATGCGCAGTGACTCTTCTTCCACTTCGTCTAGTGGTAGCAGTGATGATCGTATCAGAACTCGTAATGATGATGTACGATTTGAACGACGAAAGGAGAGAAGCCTAGCGAAAGCCCGCGATCGGATATATGCCCATCAACCTCAATGGTATAGTATTCATCATCATCCTAATGAATTCTTGACAAGGAAATGTGAAGAGATGCAGTTTTGTGTAAAATTCCCTAGGTTTTGAAGCAGTTTAATTCCAGCGAAAGATTTAACATCGAGCCAAGCAGTAATTCGTGAACGCTTACGCCAAACAGGGGGATCATGTACAGATATAGACCCGATGAGCATTGACAAAGGCATTGGTTTCGAACAGGTTTGTTTATTACGTTTGCCGTATTCGTGAATATTCCATGATACTCCAGTTTAGGTGGGAGGCCTCGGGAGCACATATCCAATCGTTAAAAGAGGTTGTGCTGTTCCCGAATGTTATATCCTGAAATATTCAAGCATTAATATTACGCTCCTCCAAGGGGTTGTTTTTACGGCCACCAGGTATGTTGTCTTTTAGATTGAAGTTTCATGTTCCTGAATAAGAATTCAACTTTTGTTAGAATTAAAACGTTGCATGTGAGCGTACTGCTAAGGAACCGGAAAAACACTAATGGCTCGTGCTTTGGCGAATGAATGCTCCAAAGGTGGAAAGAAGGTTAGTGTCTGATACTAGGCGATTCTTCTTCTTTCCGCCTGTTTTGAGTTTTTCTTTGTTACAAGAGCCTGAGCATTTTTAGCCTGAGCATTTTTATAGTTTTACTGGTTTAGGTGGCATTCTTCATGCGAAAAGGTGCAGACTGTCTTAGCAAGTGGGTAGGCGAAGCAGAAAGACAGCTACGGTACGTAATACGATTCGTTTTTTTTTCTTTGTACGTTTGATTAATTCCGTGTTATGCCGTTACACTTTTTTAATCATAACTGTTGTTCTGTGGTTAGTTTTGATGAGCAATGGTAATTTAAGTGTGTTGTTCGACCAAGCATACGCAATGCGCCCCTCCATCATCTTCTTCGACGAGATTGATGGGCTTGCTCCGGTTCGATCGTCGAAGCAAGACCAGATTCACTCCAGTATTGTAAGCACACTATTAGCTCTGATGGATGGATTGGACAACCGCGGAGAGGTAATGGCACTGGTTGGCTTTTTGTTCGATTGAAAGCATGATTTACGGAGGCTTATCAGGTGGTGGTCATTGGCGCTACCAATCGTCTGGACACATTGGATCCAGCTCTCCGGCGTCCAGGAAGATTCGATAGGGAATTGAAGTTCTCACTGCCCGATGCGAATGCTAGGTAGGGTTCGGTATGAATTCCATCGGAGTTGTGTATGGTTGCAAGTTATCTATTCAGGAAACAAATACTAACCATTCATACAGCAAAATGGGGAGCTTGTCAACCTGATGAGAGCACGCTGACGTGGCTTGCGGAGGGAACCAGTGGCTATTGTGGTGCCGATTTACAGGTGTCGCTTAGAATTTTATTCTTTTTTCTTTTATTCTTTCTTTCTTTTCATTTTTGAATCTTAAGAGTTTTTAGTACCTTTGCACCGAGGCTGTACTGGTCGCCTTGCGGTATCGTTTTCCGCATATCTACATGTCAGAAGAGCGCCTCAAGCTAGATCCCTCTTTGCTTGTTGTTGATAGGAACTGTTTTACAACTGCAATGCGCCGGATCACGCCTGCATCAAGAAGGGGTAAGTCGTTTCTGGCATCTTACCTTAAAAAATCCTCACTATTCCTCAATACATATAGCTAATACTGTTGAAACAGTGCCTTAATTGCTATTTAATGTGAACCATTCAGATCTTTCGATCCCCTCTCGACAACTCGATGATCGAACTTCGATATTGCTGCTAAGCACAGTTACCTCATTATTGAACGTACGCATACCGTCAGGGTACAAAAGCTCACAATCAGTTCAAAACAGCTCAGCATCCGAATTGGAAAAAGTGGTTCGCGCTCTAGAACAGCCACCGTGTGTTCCAGCTGGTGAGCGAAATTTTTAGCTTTTGCTTTTGGAAAGGTTTCATGGGTTTTCTTTAGTGCGCCTGTTGATCTGCGGCAGTCCATCTCATCCTGACCTGGGTCAGACGTCCTATGTCTTACCTGCAGTACTCGGAAAGCTCGATCATCTCCCTGTGTTCTCTTTGGCAGTGGCCAGACTATTCGCTGATGGGAGGCCGGAGGTACTTTCAGTTCAATTTGATTTTTGTTTCAGTGAAATTTATCTGCACATTCTAGGAAACATTGGCGCAAACGATTCAGTCGGCACTTCGTTCAGCAGCCAATGGGCCGTGCGTTTTGCTTTTGCCAAGCATTGACCAGTGGTATGCAGTGGTTCCGCCGAGTGTTACACATATGGTATGTTTTATTACATGTTAAAAAATTATTTTACTGCTGTGCAGTGGTTCTCTTTGCTCCGAAGAGCGTTGTGCATTGTGGACGAATGAGAGAAATGAGGATTCACAAGGCTATTATAGCTCGCGACAGCACTCGACTCTATGCATGGTTTCACATCCATTCTGTTTCTGGCATCATGTGACCGTGCTTACGATTCTTGTTGCTCTGAAATCAAGGACCTGTTCTGTCCATCACAGAGTGTCAGGTAACCAAACATCCAAAAGGAGTGACTCGAAAAAATATTGTCCATTGTATTGTTGTTAAAGTGCCGTATTTTTCAGTCTTAGTCCACCTAAAGAACTTTACCGACGACACTATTTTGAACATATCATTGCTAATGCTCGGATTCCTCCGAAGGTTTTCGATCGTAAGCTTTTCCTTTCTGAAATTCTCGGTTTCTTATTCATCCAGCGTTTTCAGCTTCGCTGTATAAAGAACCAGAGAAAGCTGGTCCTGTGGACACTGCAATAGAACGGAAGCTGAATGAGAGAGAGGCAAGAGAGCTTGTCAAAGAGTATGAGAGTCAGCTCCGTCGATTCCGTATTTGGGCAAGGGATAAGCTAAGTGAGTGCCTTTTGCAATCTTTTATTGAAACGTTATTGATTTTCCTCTCCTACAGCTTCTCCTCTCAAGTATTAGACAGATTTTTTATTGACTGTCAAAACATCTTCCTAGGCGCTCTTCGGCGTGATCGTCGCTTCACGATTTTTGTCAAGCCCGTTGACGTAGAGGATGTCGAGGATTACTACGACGTTATAAAGAATCCAATGTGTATATCGGAGATGGAGGACAAAATCGATAGGTAAGTTACTGCAGTGCCCTGGCAAGATCAAATGTTGTTAATATTGTTTTCCACG